CGATCTTATATTGACAGGAAACAACACTTCTTTTATATCTCGTTTTATTCTGGTGCTTAGAGAGAAATTTTTATTGAAAGATCATCAGGAATTAAATCTTTTTCTTGGTATTGATGTTTATAAGACAATTAAGGTTTTGTTTCTTTCGCAACATCATTATGTGCAAAAGCTTCTTCAAAAGGCCAAAATGGATGGTGCTCAAGAGGCCTCCACGCCTATTGCTATTGCTTCACATTTGGTCAAATCACTTCCTGCTACTCAAGCTATTGAGTCCACTTATTATCGTCAATTGAGTGATGTTTTATAGTATTTGAGTCTTATCCGCCTGATATAGAATTCAGTGTGAATAAACGCGATTAATTCTCATTAGGTGGCTCTAAAACAATTACTTCGATATCTCAAATCCACCATTGATTTTGGACTTCATATTACACGGCAATCTTAACTTATTTTTCATGCCTTCTCAGATGTCGATTGGGTGGGTGATCCTTTAGATCGAACTTCAACAACCAGATTTATTTTATACTTTGGTCAAATACTGATCAGTTAGAGCTCTAAGAAGCAACGAACTGCTACCCGCTCGTCATTGAAGCAGAATATCAAGTTGTTGCTTCTACTGCTACTGAATTTCAATGGGTGAAATCTCTTCTTCAAGAACTTGGATACAAAGTTCCAGCTCCTACAATTTATTGTGATAATCTATCCACAATGTATACCGGTCAAAATCTTGTTTATCATTCGAAAATGAAGCATCTAGACATTTTGTCTGTGATTTTATTCAAACGGGTGCTCTTCATGTTTCTCAGGTTTCCTCTAGAGACCAACTTGCAGATTTTCTCACTAAACCATTGTCCAAGAAGTAATTTATGCTCAACAAGTCCAAGATTGGTCTCCACAATAAATTCAATCTTGCGAAGACTGCTAAGGATGTTTCTGTAGATTCTTTGCAATCAAAATCAAATCAAATGAAGAATAAAACTTAATTCGATTTCTATTGTAACAAATTAAATTCTTTTGTTTAAATTTAAATTACTTGTTTATAAGATATTGTTTTCTTGTATCTATTTAAATCTCAGCATCATGGTAATGAAAATTTACATATGTTCATCTCATCTTTTGCGAATCCTTATATATATATAAATTTACATATGTTATTTTGCCTCTCTTTGCGAATCCTATATATATATATATATATATATATATATATATATATCATATATATAATACTTACATATTATACTACATATTAATGAATTACACATTACTACATATTAATGAATTACACATTTTCTTAAAAAAAATAAAAGTTAATTTCCATGTAAGCACTAAAAGTAGAATATGGTTATGATGGAATAAGTGAAACCTCAAATAGAACGTGGACAAAAAAAAAAAGTTCTTCTCCCAGCATGCTAATATTCCTCTTTATATAATATTTATCGAATTTACGATAAATTTTGTGATAGAAAGGACTTAAATTAAATTTCTTAAAGTATTAAAAATATATTGACCTTATCAATAGGGATAAGATGTGCCGAGAGGGTTTTGGGGAGTGTGGCCCCCTAAAACTAAAAAATTTTAAAAATTTTAGTGAAAAATTTAATTAATTTTACTCCCTACAATTGGTAAAATTATTTTTTAGTCTCTCTAACTATTTAGGGCAAGTCCATTAGGGACTTGGTTAATCCATTAATTATAGATGGATCAAGTACTTTAAATAACTAAATTTAAAAATATTGTTTATGGCACTCTTTTCTTTTAATTGATGATAAAAGTTGACTTTGTTTTTTAAAAGAAGAAATGAAAGTTAAAGATGTTGTGATAATTCCAAAGAAATAAATAAATAAGATGTTTTTTATCGCTCAACAAACACTTTATTGGTTAATTTTTTCATTAAAAAAAATCATTATAAACATGAAATAATTTATTGCAAAAAGTAAAAATCAAGCAAAACTTCCATATATAGTTAGATCTTTGCTTATAATTATTTTGGTCATCAGATAAATATAGCATATAAAAACCAAAAATACAACAAAACAATTGTTATTAGTGTGAAAAAAAAAATATAAAATGTTCTCAAATTCATAAATTTAAAAATGCCAGCATTTAAAGACGTGTTACTTTTCATTATATTGTTACTTAGTTTATAATTTTTTATTATTTAAAAATAATTAATAATTTTATATAACGTGGATAGTATATCGATAGTTTTTTTATTTAATTTTATAATTAATGAGACTATAGGATCGACGAAAGAGAGTTTACTTAATTAAATATATTATTATTATATTAAATAACAATATATTTTAAAAACAGAATATATTATTATTATTCTAGATAATTAAGTGGAACTTAAATAGGAAAACCAAAGTTTTTAATATAGTATTTAATAATACTAGGATTTCAATCAAGGGATTACTAATTTCAATTATTAGTCTGTTTAAATTAAAGAAGACCTTAGTTATTTCTTAACCAATAAAATTAAATTTAAATAGAAAACTAATGTAATCACTCAAATTAATTTACTTTATTAACTTAAATTAGATTTTTTAATCAATAAAAAAATACTAAAATATATTTTTATCAATTAATAAATTGATTAAGATTACCGTTGTCAGTCCAATCTTTGCGTCACAATTGTTTTTTTCTTTAGGATACAGAAATATATTTAAGAAATTATTTATTAAAGAATGTGGAGCTGCAGAGTGCAGACACTGTAGAAAGAGAAAGAAGATGGAGACTCTGACACGCTGCAAAGGAAAAAAAGGAAGGACTATGGGCCACTGTACTAACACACTTTAATTCTCTCCACCTCCACCAAACACTTGTTTAAGACTTTAGATATGTTTGGAGAGAGAGAAAATATAGAAAGAAAAAAATAATCAAAAAAAGTAATAACTAAATGCTAATTTTTTTTTTATTTGAAAAAGAGGAGAAATAATAAAAGTTTTTATTTCTTTTTAGAATTCCCTTCCACATTAAAAGCGCATTTGATTTTTAAATTTTAAGAAAAATAGTTATAGAAATTATGTATTTGTTTAGGTGATAAATAAAATAATTGTATTTGTTTAAAATATGAAAAAAATAAAGAAAGTTCCATTATTTCTTTAATCTAAATATTTTTATTTAATTTACAAGAACGCCATTATAAGTACAATGAAAATTTTATAATATTAGTTAATATGAAATGTGAATATCGTTTAAAAATTACTTAAATAAATAAAACATAATATAAAGCAACAATATATTAATATGAAATGTGAATATCGTTTAAAAATAAACTTAAATAAAAAGAAAACATTAATATAACAAACAATATATATATATATATATATATATATATATATTATATATATATAGTATATATATTAGTCTATTTGAAGAATTGAAAAATTTCAAAAAAAAAAAAAGAAAGAAAAAAAAATCAACCAAGAAAGATTAAATTAAAATTCAACCTTTAATATTGAGAGAAGTACTTTGCTTTATAATATAAAAAATAGTCTATTGAAGAATTGAAAAATTTCAAAAAAAAAAAAAAGAAAGAAAAAATCAACCAAGAAAGATTAAATTAAAATTTCAACCCTTTAATATGAGAAAGTACTTTGCTTTATATATAAAAAAGTAAATATAAAACATACATGTTTAGAAATTGAAATGTCCCCACATATAATAGGATAAAAGAAAAGAAATCTACATGTTCAAGAATTAAATTTTCCTAGAAAAATATAATTCTTGTAACCAAACATTGAAATTTATTTTCTAAAATTATTTTCCGTGAAATTATAATAAATGTTAAAAGAAAAACAGAAAAATATAATAACAATAGTGAAGTAAAAGTAATTTTTATTTTATTTTTCTAGTTTATCCTTTTTCTAGTTTATCCTTTCCCCTTGTTCTCCTCCTTTATTTTCTTTCTTTCCTCCTCTCCTTTTTCTTTTTCTGCACAAAGTGCAAGAGGACTTCTCCAAGCAATCTTCTTATATCTAATAAGTAAGAGAAAATATGATATTTTCTTTCAGAAATTAATTTTGAATCTACCCACAATAAGTGATTGTTCATGTTCATTCGATATAAAATGATTTATCAAATTAATGAATGAAGTCGTATAAACAAAATTAATCTTATATTGATCTGTTGTAACTTTTTCCGTTTCCCATAACTGTCTCTTTTTTTTCTCTCAAAATCTAAAAGTTTTTTTTTTTTTTTTCTTTTATGGGCGGCCACCTGAATTCTCACCCCTTTCTCTTTTCTTGTTTGTTTTTATCAGTGATTTCTCAATTTTATATCTTTCGATACAGATTTGAGTTATTATTATCCAAATATTCAGAATATTATTGCTCATATCCTATAATTTTATTCTTAAATCTAGTTCTGATTCAATATTATCACTATTGTAGTGATTTTATTTAAAATATTTTATTATTTGAACAGTTATGCAGAAAGAAGTACATATCTCTTCACTAAAAAGAAGAGATTTGAAAGTGATCAAATCATACAGTAGCCAATAGCCATTAACAGTCGCCAAATGGCAAGTGATTTAGCATAAATATTATGTTCAGTCAACTTAATCAAATACTTCAAATTAATTAAGACTCAGTTTTTGTATTTTTTGTATAAGCAATTTATTATTAGACTTATTACAGAAAAATGTTTATCTCGTATCTCTATACAATGTTATCTTAATAAAATTTCTAATTTGATTTCTTCTTTTAAAAAACAAAAATTAAACACACAAATCTTAATTTGCTTATTTAATAATAGAATGAAACATTGATTTTATTTTATTTTTGTAACTGAAGTTTAAAATTATAGACTCAAAATTTTAACTTAGTGATAATTTCAACACCTCTTTAGATAACTCCACTACTTGTAAATTTTTAGATAAAAGTAGCAGACTTATTTAACCATGAGTTCTTTACAAAGAATTAATGCAAGAAAATTTTGGGCGTTCCAAACTAAATCAAACCAAACCAAACCAAACCAAACGTCAAGCCGCTCCTCCCTTTCCCACTTCCTGTTTCACACTTGCAACGCTATTTAGGGTTTTGCAGTACTCTTACAGACAGATAAAAGATAAAAACAAAGAAGAACAGAAGGTGGGGAAGGTAATAATTAGGATCTGGACAATCGTGCAGGCTATGTTAGAGAACTAACATGACCTTGTCGGTTGCTCTGAAAAAATACTCTTCCTTCTAGTATGCGTGACATCCATTTCTTGTAGTTATTGCTGCTGTTTGATTTTTATTACAAGTAAGCTACAAAACCAACCTGCCTGTTCCTTCAATGGATGATTTTAATGGGTTCGGATGGGATTTTAGGAAACAAAACCCACATCTTCTACGCATTTATAAATATATAGAAATGAATCATTATCTCCCTCTCTCTCTCTCTCTCTCTTACTTTTTCATCTCTCTTTTCTGCTAAATCCAATGTTTCAACTCCCTTCTTCCTTGATCTCAATCCTGCAACTAGCTATCCATTAGCTTCTCAGTACTTTTCATGGTGCAATTACAGCTTCATTACTCTAGATCTACAGTTTAATTAAGTTATCATCCTAAATCTTAGTTAAATCTCCATAGCTTTCTAGCTTGTAGGGGCCCATATACACTAGATAATGTTATTTTTCCCTTTTCCTAATTTTTTTTCTTTTTGCCTTTGTTTTTATTAGGTTGGGTTTCACAGAAATTAATATTTCTAATTCATCTAATCATAAGTCTATCTACTGCTCAATGACTCGGCTTACGTCTTTAAGGATATAGTGTTATGGTGGGTTTGTACCCATTAATGTCAAAATCAGAATAAGAAAGGAGAATATATTCAGGGTTACCAAGTAATTACTTCTTTGATGTCTGGGATTTGGCTGCCTTAAATTAGGGTTCATTTCAAAGGATCGCAAGCTAAGCAGCAGCCGATGGTGATGACGATGGTGATGGTGATGACGATGATTTCTTGAAAAAGGAAGAGAGGAAAGATCAAAACTTAGGTTTGGAGCTTTTTCATTTTGCAGATCAGTTTGATGGAAGTGAGGGGGCAAGAAAAGGGAATAGCGATGCCCAGCTCTTTGGGTTGCAATCCAACTAATAGAGATTCTTCCTCTAAAGTCCCCTCTTCTAATATACTTTCAGCCTTTGGAGAAACAAAAGAGGACGATCATCATCATCATCATCAAAACCTTGAACGCTACCCTCTTTTTCACCATCACCAAATGAATCTACAGAATCTCCCTCTCAAACCCACTGGAGGTCCTGAACAAACACAAGATCCAACTCCAGCTCCGGCTATGATCACTGCAGTAAGTGCAAACAACAGGGTTGCCTCTGTTCCTAGTAGATCCAGTTCTAGATCACCACCAGCACCTCCGGGGCCGCCAACATCAACAGGATTAGTTAGATACCGAGAATGCTTGAAGAATCATGCCGCAAGCAAAGGAGGGTTTGTTGTAGATGGATGTGGAGAATTCATGCCAACCGGTGAAGAGGGTACGGCAGAAGCCTTGAGATGTGCAGCTTGTCAATGCCATAGGAATTTTCATAGAAAAGAGATTGATGGAGAACATCAAAGTGCAGCAACTAATAGTTACTACAAAGACAATAACCAAAGAAATACCATACCTCAACAACAACTAGCCACTTCACATCCTCCTATCTCACAACCATCAGTTCATTATCATCATAGATACCCTCACGGGCTAACTTTAGGTGCCCCGACTACAACACCTGCACCGACGATTGTAATGACCTTCGGTGGCGGAGGAGCTGCCGCAGAATCATCAAGTGAAGATCTTAATATGTTCCAGTCAAATGTGCAAGGTTACGGATCTATACAGCCATCATCTTTGTCAAAGAAGAGGTTTCGGACAAAGTTTAGTCAAGAACAAAAGGAAAAAATGTTGGAATTTGCAGAAAAAATAGAATGGAAAATCCAAAAACAAGATGAACAAGAAGTGCAGCAGTTTTGCTCCAAAGTGGGTGTAAAGAGAAAGGTTTTCAAGGTTTGGATGCATAATAACAAACAAGCAATGAAGAAGAAGCAAATGTGAGAATCCAAATCCTTGAGAACCATATATGTACTTACATATGCATATTATTGTTGCAGGAAATTGAATAGTTTTCAATAAATAATAGTAGATATTAGATGTGCACAACTCAATATAAGTTAGGAAATAGGTTAAACACCCACTAATACTAATATTTGTCTCGGAAATACTTGCTAATAATGCTCATTGTCATGAATCTTTCTTGTTTAAACAAACAAAGAACAATTAGTTCCCTTTTCATGACCCTCTAATTAAGTTCAACTTCCTGATCTTCCTTTCTGCAAAACAAACGAGGCCTAAGTAGTCAAGATTCCCATCTTTTTTGGATAGAAACAAAATGGGATTTGTCTTGATTTTCTTTTCCCCACTGCTAGACCAAGGTGTTCCTATTAGGGAGAAATAAAGACTTGAAAATAAAAAAATTAACAAATAAAACCAAAAAGACGAAAGAAAAATAATAACTAAATAGAATTAAAAGGTAGAAAAAAGAGAAACATGGAAGGGCCCTTTTGGTCGAGGTGATGAACATGGAAGGTACGTTTCACATTTTCATGTATTACTTGTCCCTTTTTTTTTTTTTTTAATAGATGGGTTATCATGCGTGGAATTTTCACAATCATGCGAGATGACTCCTCTAGCTACTAACACTATATGTGGGTGAAGCTTTTGGATTCCTTGAACCTCACCTCATCAAAATCCTTTTAGAACTATTTAAGATTTAAAGCCGGATCAAACGGGATATTTTGCAACTCCAACAATCAAAAATAAAAATGGCACAGAACTAATTAAATCCTAATACTCCTTTTATTCTGTGTTCTAAGAGTAAGCCTCGTATGCAGCAGTAAGTAGTATTCAAATTTTCTTGTAGCGGGTCATAGCTATTTATTGTTTGAAAGTGATGGTTGTTACTTTATGAGACCTCGATCTTGTCATATGGAGACATTTTAAAATTATAGCTATGTAGTGTCTAAATTCCTAGCCAACGTTCAGATGGAACATTGTTTTTACCGGACACATTAATTTGAATCTTGACTTCTAAATATTTCCAAACCAAGCAGAAAATGCAATGCATTATTGATGTAGAAGACGTGCCATCTCCTTCGAGGAAAATACAATATGGTAAAAATTTGAAATCTCAGGGTCAAATCCCATTAGTTGTGGGGACATGTCGAGTTTCTGGAACCTAACAGAAAATGATATGATTAATCGAGTACGTTTGATAAACCAAAATAAAATATGATCAAATATATTTTTGATCTAAAAATTACATTAGAAACTTATTAATAGATGGATTATCTTATATTTTGAGGCCATTAATATGTTAATCAAAGTGATCGCATTGATAGATGTAATACTTCTGTTAGAATCATGGCATATAAAATAGACAAAAGAAAAATGAAAACCAAGGTAACCTTTAACCATGTCTGTGTAAGAAGAGAGAGAGGAGAAAAGGTCACTGGCACAAGTGGGAACTGATCAGAATTTCCATAGAAAATTTGACTAGTTGAAGGGCCATAATGAAACAAAAGATGAAAAAGCGTGCCATGACAAAGTCACGAACAGTACAAGAAAATTCTTGAGATAAAGCCCTCATGAAAGGAAGGTGGCCCAAGTAGGAACTTATCGTTTACCATAACCTTGATCTAGATTCTAGACTAGATTTAGCAACTTTAGGTCAATTAGCACGTCGGAGTCATGACTTACCGATTTGGTGCCTAAAGTATTTAACAATAATTAAATTAATAAAATCGCAAATCAACGATACAAAATAACTAAATACTGAGAGATTGAATTACATAACAATTAGCAAGACGAGAAAATTACTAGCCTATTAACTAATACTTACAGGCTAAGCAAGTAATTAAAACTTTTTCAATTTATATATATGTATGTATATTTGAGAAAAATTGTATTTTATAGGTTATATACATTTCATAGAATATAATAATTACAAATTACAATAAATTCTAAGATTGAAACTCATAGCAACTAATATTATTGATTTATTATTAAGCTATTAATCCTCAATGTACCAATCAATTATTCTCTTCTAAACAAATAAAAAAAATGTAATATATTTTTAAGTAACATAATGAACAAGAAAAAGGTAGAGATAATAAACAAGAATTTGAAGATTTGCAAACAAAAATTAGGTTTTTGTTTGTTTGTGGCGTGAAACAAACAAACTAAAAGAGGTTTTTTAAAGGTAAACCTACAAAGAAAAAAACAAAATTTGATTTGACCCATAATTTGATTAATTCACCCGCCAAATCTCATGCATTAATTCACGCTTCAAAAGCCAAATTCATTAAGTGTAAGCATATGTTGAATCATGACTGTAACATATGTTGAATCATGTCTGCGCGCTTATTTGACCGATAACTTGAAAAAAACAATCTAATATGCACTAGAATGCATATCTATATGGATTTACTCTGCATATATATGTATATTAGAGCAAATAAATTGAGAAAAGCACCAGCTGATATTGTACTTGAAAATTGTAATTGACATACACACACGCACACAATTCAAATAGTACTTGTTAAAAAAAATTAAATAAGAAACTAGACCGATAACAAGGACTCATATGAAGATAGTATGTAAAAAGTGGTAGTTATACTCAAACCTCTGCTGCTTCTTTTCTCATCTCGTCTCCAACAGCACCAGTGGCCTTAGACATCCTCTCCTTGGCGGATTCGTACTTAGCTTTTGCCTCACCAGACATTGTCTCTTTGGATGACCTATATGCCTCCCCGACTTTATTTATAGATTGATAAAAGTCATCCATCTCGTCGCATGATCCATATCCCATCGGTCCTTCTAAAGCCTCTATGGCATCACCTCCGTTCTGTACAGGAATATTTTCAAGCGTCTCTGTTTCTCGTTTGGCTTCTTCTTCATTAGCATTACTAATTCTGGTTCTTCCATACTCCATTCCTCTTGCCATAGCATCTTTAACATCACTAGCCCAATCCGAGTCTATATATAAAGCCATGATGTTATTGACATCATCTGACTTCCCTTCAAAGAAAAATAAAGAAGTCCTTTATATTATATGGCTGTTGCGATTGCGGATTGGATGTCTAATTTTTAATCTACTTAAACGTTAAACGTTAATTTTATCATGTGCTTATAGAAAAACTAGAATGAAAACAAGCCGCAAAAAGAAAACACTTGTTCAAAATGATATAACTAAATTTGGGTCGAACATGAACAAATACGATGAATTAAATACCGGATACGGCAGGGTCCATTGTCTCTACTTCTCTTGCGTGCCCCTGTTTCAATCCATAAGCCCTGTCAGTATTAATGCAACATTATTAGTCAAAACTTTGAGACGAGTAGAATACTTCCAAATTTAAGGCAAGCTATGCAGATAAAAGAAAAAAAAAAAAAAAAAAAAAACCGCTGTCAGTATTAAGCAACATTATTAGTTCAAAAACTTTGAGACGAGTAAGAATACTTCCAAATTTAAGCAAAGCTATGCAGAATAAAGAAAAAAAAAAAAAAAAAAAAAAAGATAAAAAAAAAAAAAAAAAAAAAAAAAAAAAAAGGATAATAATGAACTACCTATAATTTTGATCAATATAGTAAGGTTGCTTCACCGAACAAAAATTGAGATACAAGTGCAAGCTCAAAAATTGTAACAGAACACGTTGTTCTATTGAATTGCAATCTATTTCATCCCATTCCACTTTACAAAAATATATATAACGATCTGGTTTACTAGATGAAGCAAACTTAAGTCTTAATATGATAAACACGTTTGCTTTTCTATGGACAGAGCCATAAAACCCACTTCTCCCAGCAATTGACATATGAAGATACAAATAATGTTAGTACTCACTGTTGCTCCCATTCTCACAAACTTAAAAGCTTAAATTACTTGCACCTTCCTTGACACATGTAATTATAGCATGCTATTCATATATCTTGATACAGAAAACCACTGCGGCTGTAAGGTTGTGACTTATTTAATCCAAGAGCTAGGAAAATAGAGAAAACTTTATTGATATTGCCAAATAATAGGAATTACATAAACTCGTAATCTTAGGTTAACACTTACCTACATCAGATATACAATAACGACAATTGGTACAAAGAAGACACAAGTCTGTTCACAAGGGAAAGTAAGAGACAAAAGAGCGACAATTTTTTAATAACAATCAACTATTAACTGAGTCTATATAGATATAAATCCAATGTAAGTAAACATTTTCCATAAAAAAGAAACTAAAAAATAGCTACTGTCTTCATTTTTCTATATAGTAATGCTCTATTTATTTCACATAGCAACTTTCCTTTGAAAAAGGAAAGAATAGACTTAAAAGAGCACAAGTGATTAGAATTTCGTATGAAAATCCATAAACATGTTCCATGCTCAGTGTCCTCTTCCATTACCTGGTTTGCTAGTTTCCTGCACATACTAATGGCAAAACATATTATAAAACTCGAACTAATTAGATGTTCCAACTCAAAAGTGCAAACATATCTGAAAACTAGAAACAAATAATCCTCTATGTCTTAGAAGGCTCGAACCTCCAATTAGTCATTATCATCACTTCAATATTAGCATCTTTAATTTATTAACGTTTTCCCTTTTTTTTTTTTATTAATATCACTTTCCTTTCATTGTTTCCTCCCAAACACAACACAGATGGCGTTGGTGACTAGTATGTATATATAGTCTGAAATACTGCTAGTTTATTTCCTTTAAAGAATTTTCTAAATATAAAGATATAAAATAACACGAGGACAAAGGTGAGGAAGAGATGATGATTACTCATTGGCATCATTCACTGTCTTCTTTGCATTCTCCATCATATTCTCGTTGTTCGAACACCAACAGACATCCACCATCACCGCCGCCTCCCATAACACCACAGCCGCTGCTATCATCGTCACCGCTCTATTTACCATCTCTCCAGTGAATAATTAACAATACGTATATATATATTTAATATATTGCGGAAAAAAAAAGAAAATCAAGCAGCAGTTAGCATAATTCCCAAAGATACTACAACTTTGTTCATTAAAGAAAGGAAGGAGAAATGTAACCCAAAAAAAGATAGGAAGGAGAGAGGCTATGGCGGAGAAAAGGTTTGGGCGCCGAAACGTGGCGGCGAGGAAGGTTACGTGGCTGTAGTAGGGGACGATTCTCGCTGGTTTAAGGCACGTGTCCATTACAGCAGCGGGAAAAACTTAACTAGATGGATCCATTTGACTTACCTATGCACTAAATAAATAAAATTAAAAATTTTTTAAAATGTATTTCGATTTTTTTTTTCTAAGCATATGGTGACAAATACAATAAGAATTTTTTTAATCTATAAGTACGCCATAAATTCAGTCTAGGTAAATATTTTCTTATAGTAGTAGTTTCTTTTAATGTATACATCCAAAAGATAAGTTCTATTTTTTATAAAAATTAAAAAAATAATTAATTCTCTTAAATTATAAAAAATTAAGAGTATGTCCTTTATTTCAAAAATCAAAAATAATTTGAGAAAACAGTTATTATATCTAATATAAATAAGAATAATATTATAAAGATATTATTCATTACTCTTTAAAAATATTTAAAATTTCTATTTTGATACAAAATAATTATTTTAAAACGTTTTATATTTTGGAACGAAAAGAGTAATTTATTACTGAAGGCTTAAACCTAGAACTCTGTTTTCTAAAATCAACTGAACAATTCTATATTTTGTTATAAATGAATAAATAATCGACTTTGCTTTATTTTATTATTATTATTTTTATTATATTTAGATATTTCACACTCTTTAATAAACTCATTAAATTTATTTAATTTACAATACATTATTAAATGAATTGATTATATTATCTTTAATTTATTATTGGAATGAAAACCATCATATCACTTTTGGCATATACAAAAAATAAAAATTAAAAAATAATTTATTATTCGTTAAATATATAAATATGACAAATATTTCGTAATATAGTATTTATATATATATATATATAAAAGATTGTGGGCTTTTTTTTGTAAAACTCTTTTTTTATTTTTCTTTATGTGTGAGAATCTTAGATTGTGGTAGAGATGGGGCTGAGAGCGTGATTGCAAAGGGACAAAGTGGGAAAAAAAAGAAACTGCTGGAAGAAAAAAAATGAGATGATTAATGTCTTAAAGTTTACCGAGGGAACTATCCGTCTGTAAATATTTAATTTCGTGGATAAATAAGTGTTATCGACTTGTACCTCTAAACTATTGGTAATGTATAATTAATTTTCCACACTGAATTTCTGAGAGCTAACTCAACTTCTATCGGTATTACGTCATTAATTCTGTCAATAAATATACCAACCGCAAAAGCGATTAGTAAAATTTACGCGCCGCATAATGGTTATCCCGCAAAATCTTCAATCAGTAATTAGATCATTATTTCTTTGTTAAAACTCCCGCTTAACCTTCGCGCGAATATTTGCAGACAAAAGTTGTTTCGTCGGTATTTATTTTCTCAATTTTGTAAGGATATTTTGGTCATGGTCTTGCGGTATTCCATCAGTATTTACCTATAGAGAGTTTCCGTTGGTAAACTCCGTCATAAATGCCAGTTTTTTTACGGTGCATGACCTGGTGTGGTGGTTGCACAGAGGCTTGCGACTGTTGCACCTCCAATGGGTAGCTGTCACGTAGTCCCAGGCCAAACAACCCCGATAAATACCCTCTTGTGCGTACCAAACTTCATTCTACTCATTTTTGCGATTTCTGAAGCCTTTCCTCTCAAATTTCGAGCTTTCTACTTATTTTATTTCTTCCTTTTGCTATGAAGCCATATTTTAGTCATTCACTACATTTATGGATTAAAAATCCTGAGAAGCTAGAGAAAATTAATTTGAAAAAATCTGTCATTGTTCCCTTTTTAACTCTACATGGAGTAAGAATTGATTGGACATTTTTGACAGATTGTTTTAAAATTTCGAGATTCTGAACTCAGGTTTAAAACTAGAATGGAAGAGTTGTATAGTAATTTTGAAAATTTTAGTGTTATTCTTGGTAGTATGATAAACACATAATTTTAATTTGAAATTTAAAAAAAATAAAATGATAAAAAATTGTTAATTTGAAAAAAATAATTTTATTACTAATTATTTCTATGAGTTTAATGATGTCCAAATATAATATAAATAAAATTAATTATCAATTGAGATGGAAAAAATTTAAAGATATAACTGATTGAAATTTTTATCAACTATTAACTGTCGATTAAAAAACTTATTAAATATCTACAATTTAATTGTTGGGTATAATTTAGCTATCTGCCGCATGAATTAATCGAACCGAACTCTCTCAAACACCATTTGCCAAAGTGAGAAGTTGAATTTCCGATGGTTGATCAAAAGCCGACGAGTTGATGAGATCAGAAGCACATTAAGATTTCCTATGGAAACAAATGAATTCTGAAGAGAGAAGCTTTGAGTTTTTATGAAGAGGAAAAAAGTGAAAACAATGACAATGATATGATCTATTTATATGCTTGGACGGGTGACCTTTCAACTTCTTGGAAGAAGTTGCTCGAGCCAGATCGACTTGCACTGTTGCGTAAACCCTTCAGGGGGCCCAACCCAAAAAAAGGCCATGCGCAAGTGTTTTTGTTGACGCCAGACATTTCCATTGGCCCAACCAAACTTAAGAGACAACCTATTGAGAACCAGCCAACTTTTGTTGGCCCAACTAGGGGAAGGCAATCCAATCAACATTCTTGGTTGGGCTTAATGTATTTTCTTATGCCCTAAAATAAGAGATTTTTCAGGTTTTAATATATAAAACCTCCGTGTCCATAAAGATTGTTGACTATTCTATTTTGAAATGTTCCAAAATAATTGTCCACTTTTATTTATAGTATGCGTTTATAATTTTTTTTCTATTTTTACCCTTCAATGAATTTCTTTTAACATGTGTTTGCATTTAATTACATTTATAAATTTGAAGCTAATTTATTATGTGAATAAGGGTGTAGAAAGAAAATACATAAATTTTATAGTTACATTAGCATTTTTCTAACATTTGTAGAAAAATAAATGTGACAATCTTTTTGGGACAGTGAGTTTGTATTAGCTTACTTGCTTCTCAAGTTTTTAGAAGTAGTTTTTGCTTGCCTTATATAAGGAAAGTTGTTAGTATAAATAGGAATCAACTTCAGTTGGAAGAGGACATGACATATCAAGTCTACTAAAATACTCGTCACTTGACAACATTTATCCTCTCTTTTTTTTAAATAAACAATAAAAAATTCTCTCTTTCTTCTTTTTCTTTACCTTTGACTACTGTGTCTTATCTCTCTTTGGATTGACAATCTCAATCTATAAAACCAGTGAGTCTTTATTCAGACTTTCATAGCCCACTATTTGATAAAAATTGAAATTTGAAAGGACGTAGCCCACTATTTGATAAAAATTGAAATTTGAAATGACGTAAAATAGACGGTGAAAATGTCTTTTAAGGTTTTCAAATTATGTTGTTTAATTTGAGCGAAAATATTAAAAAAAAAGTGGCGAAAAGCTGACATCGAGATGCCAAACCTTTCCGTCGATATGAGCTCTTGGAGAATATCAACCTGTTATCTTTAGAGTAATTTTTATCCGTTGAGCGAAGACCCTAATGATTTGAGCCGTCCTTGCCTAGGTGGAGTGTTATGTAAAATAAATTTAGTCTATATTGTACAATCTTGAGTGAAAATAATAAATAATGAATAAAAAGTTACTATTCATATATATTATTAAAAATAATACTATTTTACATTCTTATGTTAACCCAATCCAAACAAAGAGCCCAAAGAGAGAAAATGAATAATATTATTTTACTTCTTTTCTTATTTTACTTCGTCCTCCCAAACACAGCGAGTCTAAGGATCCAGACCGATTTCAGAACTTGCTAGTGCAGGAAAAGTCATGCCGAGACTTTGTCACGCACTTTTCGGGCATTAAGCATACAGGGAGATTCGGGAAAGGACTTGTGAATCTAACGCTGCTGATCTTAAGCTGCCAGTTGTCACAGCTCGTCCAATGCATAAAACGGATTCAGGTACCGTAATACTGTTGCTATGCTAGCGCTACCCTGAGGTATACTCTGCTTCAAATTTACGTCAACTAAGCTGAGATTTGTTGCTTTTGAATTTATTTGATCTTCTGTCTTGATTGATGCACTGGCAATAAATTTATTTGAAGGTTCCTCGTAGTAAAGAGAGGACTAATCATAGATGCGCTCAATATCTCTCTCTCCCTTCCTTTCTCTCTCTCTCTCGTGCATACAATAGATGGTTGTGCCTTGTAAAGCTTGTATTTATGCAATTAAACCTAATATATACCAAGTCTTGTGTTGCAAATTCATGTATGCATATGGACTGTCTCAAACACTTCCCAGCATATAATTAATCCTCCTGGGCATTTACAGTTAGTCGCATACTTTTGTAAATTACGCGTAAACAGATGAAAATGCAATGATAAGAATGAACAAACAGAGAATGTAAATAAATTTTATTGACATTCTGAAACAATAATTAGCAAGGATGTGACTATGAACAGAGCATAGTGAAAACAAAGAATTCATATATCCAACCCCAACTAGCTTGGGATTAATGCTTAGCTGTTGTTGTCTGCAACACTATATTAGTGAATCAAACGCAAAACTAGAAATTAAATCTGCTGCCATCGCTATAGCACTTAATTGCACAACACATTGTTCATGCACAGCCATTGTTTTCTACTTTTCTTTATCGATTATCATCCTCCTTTCTCAGCTAATACCGTTTTCAAAATGAAAGAAAATGAGCCGATAAAAGTTATCAATATGATGTACAAGTCCAACATTCAAAAATATGGAAGAACAAAAATTCCAGCATCAACTTGGGATAGAACTAGAATGTAAATCGTTAAGCATATTACCCAATTAAGCTGGTTGGCTTCCTTCAGCTGCCAGTTTTAGTCGCTGGTGATGCTCTGCAACCTTGTAATCTACAACTTCCCTGAATAGCTGGGAATCCAATACACAGTCAGGACGCCCATAGACTGCTGCTTGGACACTGGCCATTAGTTTAGCTATCTCACGACCCGAGAAACCTTCTGTCTTCTTAGCAGCCTCTCGAATCACATCTTCAGAAACATCTTTTATGGTTATCTTTTGAGGCTGCTTCTTGAACATAGAGCTCCAACTTGAACCATTTTCAGCTTCATGAGACAGGTACTTGCTCAAGTAAAGATTCAGCAATTTAAAACGTTCCTCCTCTCCAGGAAGCGGGAATTCAATCACTTCATCAATACGGTCAGTGACAGCACTGTCCAGGTCACCTGGCCTGTTTGTGGCAAGGACAAGAACTATGTCCCTTGATTGATCCCCAGTTCGAAATAGCAATGCATTTAAAGCACTTCGTTGAGCTTCACTCATATGTGTACTATTACGTCTGCATTGCATCAACAACAAAACAATCAGCATAATTTGCCAAAAATAACCCCTTACATGGTCCTAAGATAACATTTGGGATTTCAAGGCCTAAACAACTAAAAGTTGCTATAACCTTGGTGTCAGTTCAAATGGTCAAGCATAGACCACAATTCGAGGTCAATTTTCCATAAAAAAGCTGACCATGCTGCACTTATGAAAGGTCATATACTATTATGAATATGACATGTCAGGATGTAATCAACTTACTCACTGAGGAAGGCATCAGCCTCATCGATAAAAAGCAGCAGGCCTTTCCGTGACTTCTTAGCCCAATCAAAAATTTGATGTATTTTTGTTACAGCCTGTGCACCTAGCGGCACAACGTCTCCTCCGGTCATCATAGCATAATCTAAACCCTAAATAGAGAAGATCCAAGGGTCAAATAGACTGACAAGAAATTTTTTCATCTACGCCCTTGACAAAGGCAGGTACAAGAACCAACAATCAATTGAACATAGTAAAATTGACAAGTTCAAATAACGTGAAAGAAAAATGAAATAAAAATCAGTTATATGCCATACCGATTTTCGGGCTATCTCTCTTGCAACCATAGTTTTACCAGTGCCTGGAGGCCCATAAAACATCATGTTGCGAAATGGAGCCTGATGCGTTTTAGTATTGGCTGTAGCTCTAGCAAGCTGCTCTATCCTTCTTTGCAAGCTAGGATGAAGAATAATATGTTGGAAACCATCCTTACTTGCCAAAGGTGATGCTGCTTCGGCTGCTGTACTGTATTTAGAAACCCTGTTCTTTACTTGAGATAATAATGGAAATCTAGCAATGGATGATTCTCGGATCAGTGATGGTTGCCCCAGTATTCGATTGATATAACCCCAGGTAACTCTGGCACCTTCTCTGTAGCAACCAAGAATACCACAGAGAGAGAGAGAGATAAAAAATTCATTAAGTACTGTCCACATAATTAACCAAGACCATGAAAGACAATGATTTCAAGAAGTTAGTATCAATTTAGTTATGTGATCAACAGGATAATATCTGCAAATGTTATAGAAGCCCCCAAATAATGGAATGGACATCTGTTTATTTGGAAGTTCTAAATGAGCACCGAGCACAAAGCGATAATTGTACAGAAGTTATAATGGATATGTAGCTGAGCAGTAAACATGGTGGTCGCCTTGATAATGATGATAGGTGGTGTTGAAGATGATAATTGTGGTGGTGTTGGCCAGAAGTGATATTGTTTTGTTGGGAATGTTAGTCTCTCCTCTTTGCCATTCCAACCAAGCTTACAGCTTGTTTATAAATGACACAAAGTTGGTCATGCTTCAATTTGAAATTATTAAAATTACTTCAAAAATTTGTTCAGTATTTGCCAAAACAACTTGCCCACATGAGTAGTAGTGCCTCAGTCTGTCTTCTTATATATAAAAAAAATTATTGAATCAGGGCAATATAGTCTGTTATTTAATGTTTGAATGCAGCAAATTAATGTTTTGCACACAATTCATACATATACAAATTATGCATGACATATTGTCGAAGTCACTAAAACAGAATGAATACAATGAAAAGGGCATTGTGCACACCTGGTTGTGTAAATTCCAGCAGCTAATGCAGTAGCTCCTCCAACAGTCATTATTAACTTACTTCTATCATTCAGCAAAGTCCTAAATCCACCTGCAAAAGCAATTTATGTTGGGGATGTTAAATGCTGTATAAAAGTTAGCAAAGTTTATTATCAAACATATATCATAGAGAAAACTCTTAAGAGTTGTGTAAGCTCATGGGCCTAACACTTGTATTACCTAGAAGGAAAACAGAAAAATCAATATATAACAGCAATCCAAGTTTAGTTTCATTCATTATATAGATGGCATGCAACCTAATTACAATATATAGTCAAGATACCAACAGAAACAATATGTATCATGTCTTGCAACAGATATCACGGCATAACTATAGAATCCTGCCAACGATTGTGAAAGTAATGTGCTAATCTGTTGGGTGCATTTTCAATGCGTTTGACTCTACTAAGCAACCAATTTAAGCTGATGCATCACTTAATTGTAACAACCGATCAATACTGTCATTGAGAAAATCATGAATTGAGAAACATTTTGGTAGTTCTTTACCTTCAATGTGACTAAAAGTTGTATTAATAGCTGCAAGCCATTTTTCTCTTTCACCATTTATTCGTTCAACTAGCATTCTCCTATTATGATCCTCAGTCAACTTTGCCTCATGGGCTCTGCCTTCAGCCTCAGCCATGGCCTTGACTCTTATTGTTTCCCGCTCTATTTCAGCTTTCTCTTTCTCAGTTTGACGTTGTTGAGCTTGGATCTGCTCCTCAGTAGCCCGTCTTGCTCGCTCTTTTCGTATAGAAGACTCCTCTTGCATCTTAACTAATTCAGTATTATGCCGCCTCTGAGCTTCATGATCTGTCTGAAAGAAATGATGATGATGATAAGAAAATGAAATACAACTTATCATATCTACATACCAATGTACCTTCTTCCAAGAATAAATATATCAAAATTAAAAAAAGGATCAACTACCAACTTGTTTGTGTGGTGCCTTCTGAGTTCTGACCAAGCACCTTCTTTTAACAAACAATTAATAGGTGTCCTGACATAACCGTGAAGCCAGTTGCTTCAACAGGCTTAGAAATATGCTTAAAAAAATAACTACAGCCTATAGCACGGATTGATTCAGCAATCTTTCCCTATCTATTGGAAAACCTATTTATAGTCAAATCATACAACAAACACGAGCATCTTGTAATCAAAATCCCAAATTTTTTTTCCAGCAAAATAAGAATGTAATGTTATCCAACCTGCATCCTCTTTCTAGCCAACTCATCCTCATATCGCAACATTTGAGCCTTTGCCTGTGCTTGTTGTTGCACTAGATTTCGTTGTTCTTCAGCCATTTTTCGCTGCTTGTCCTGCCAATTCATATGTTAATTGTACAAGTTCAAATAGGTAGATAATAAATGAGATATAATGCATGCTAGTTTAGTAACAAAAGTGATCACAAGTACTAATCAATCAAAAAAATATAGATAAATGTAAAGTAATAACATACAACTGATCTAAAAGAATTAAAAGACAAGACAATAACAGATAAAACAATAATTTGACTAAGAATACAGTGATAATAAGCCATTTTAAGACTTTGATTAGACATAATTTGCAATATAGCCACAGTGTAGCAGATATAAACATAAGAATAATCAGAAAATCCAAAAGAAAGCTCTGTGAAAATAAAGCAGCAGGACAGCTTATCACTCACGATATCTAGTTGAGCTTGTATTGCTTCGTGATGAGCTTTCTCAGCTGCCACTTCGGCTAGTCTGGTTTGCTCCTGCTTCCTCATGACATCAAAAACCTGAAAGCAGTACATATATATGTACAAACAATTCAAACTATGTTAATAAACCAAATAAAAATTAGATGCTAGTCTCAAGTTGCAGGAATTTCGTTCAACATATTTAATTTGTTCAACATAATTAAACACGTGGGCTTGGATTTAATAAGGAAGAAAAAAAAAACTCTGGTTCAATCCTTTCATTTTCTCAGGAATCAAACAAGAAAGAAAATTCGGAACTAAATTCAAAGGAGAACCTGTTTGGAATAAGGGGAGCTGTTAATTTCGCGAAGAGCTTTCGCACCTCTCTCTAATGCCTCAGGATCAAATCCCACCCCTCTTGGCTCCTCAGCTTCGGATTTCTCGTTGGATGTGTTGTCCACTTCAGATGATGTTGAAGAAGAAGACGAAGAGGAAGGGAAAGGATTGAAGCGAAATGACCCGTCGGCATACGCTCGGTCATGGATTGAGGACATGGAGCCAACTACCGCAGCCGCAGCAACTGCCACGGAGGATAATCTAGATGCCGCCATAGGTAAGATGTCTGAGTGAGTGTGTGATTTTTGTTTAATGGATCGAAATTGGGCTCATGTGCGAATTGAGAAATGGAATGGGAGGAAGGTTTTCAGGGTCTGGCGCGAGAGCATAAACCCTTGGTGCTAGGGTTTAAACGGAACTTTGTCTAAAGAAGGGATTGTATGCGTGGAGAAGAAACCAAAAGATTGGGCCCAGGTTTTGTAGGACTCGAGCACGCTTTAGAAAATTCACCGCCAGACTAGTAACTCACTATTAACTTTTATTTTGAGCGTTAAATATTTTAATTTATAAAATTATACTTATTAATCATTTTAATTTTTTAAGTTATTTTATTAATCACTCAAAGCCTAATTCTTATCGGTTGTAGGGATGAGGTTGAACGAGTACTTATTAGAGATTCATTTTTAAAGATAAGATATTAGAAATCTACTAGTTAAGCCATTAGCAGTCGTGATTACGAAGCTATTGACTTATTGTTGGTCAGCCGGTGTAAGCGTTGGTCAGCCATGTGATTGGTGGTCTCGCAAAGGTCGTCTCAATAATCAATAGTCTCTAATTACGATTATTAATTGCAAAATGAGTAGATTACTAAATCTTCTTTCTAATAATAAGTCTTTAAACATTAATGACCCTAGTCCTAACCTTAGTGATTTGAATACCCAAGAAATGAATATCGCTCATGTAGAGAATTAGCTACATAACTGGTCCATCCCGAAACGTGATGTTAATACTATTTATAAAATTGGTTCATTTGATTTTCTTTCTGATTATTCAATTAAACAAACCGAACAGTCTGTTTCATTAAGCCACATGCATGAAAATATTCAATTGTTTTCTCCCCAATCTATTATGAAGCACAAAGAAAAATATAAATTTTTGTATATAAGTATGGTTCAAGTTGCAATTAAACCCTTATTTCGAGTTGGTTTAGATATTCCTGTTTTTGCATATTTGCGAGATACAAGACATTTGAATTTTTCAAATTCCCTTTTTGCTATGATTGAATCTAATTTAGCTAATGGTCCTATCTATTTTAATTGTTATCCAAACTTTTCTTTGTCTCTTTATGATCTAAACATTTTAGATGCTTAAACTTTAACAATTAAATCTAAAAATATGAATTAAATCTAAAAATATGAACTTTTCAAATAATACTAGATCTATAGTAGTTATATATAGAATTTACTATAAAGTAATGACAACTACCCTAGATCCTAGATCAAGACACACTTTAACTAGGAATGAAACAATTATTTTTGAAGCCAATACCCAACATACAAAAGTACACACACCTAAAAGGTTAAAATGGCATGAATTAACCCAAGGAAATTCATGGGATCTCCACGAAATTAATCATCAAGTATCTGTTGAAAATATTTGTACTTCCTCTAGTATTATAGAAGATACTGATGGAAGTATTCATGTTCAATTTCTCCCTTTAGAAAATCCTACTAGATAAATAGTTAGTTGTGAAAATACTAGATTATCTATATTTACCCGAACTCCCAATATTCAATTACAAAGTGTAGATTTTAACTGATCTATACCTAGACCTATATATCAAGAAGTAGAACAACCAGTTAACTCTTTACCTTCCTCTCTTGCGAGATCGTTGTCTTCCACAAGATCCGCTATTGAACATATATCCCAATTAAATGTTATTAGTGAAAGTGAATTTTCAATTAATAAAGAATTTCTCAGGAAAGAAATGACCAGTGATTATAATTTAGACAAGTGTCATTGATTTTTTGAAAATTACTCAAAAGAACAAAGAGATCAAATTAGAGAAAAGAGATCAAATTAGAGAATTATATTATGGTTATATGAATCAATATAAAGTTAATATTCATTTCTTTCAATGGTTTTCTATTTATTCTATTGAGAATAACATAGAATACCCTTTTCAAGAAGTCTTAGTTAATCAAAAGGTAACTAAGGAATTGATAACTACATCTAACGAAGTTGTTACATCCATTCATCCTCCTCTAGAAGAAATTAAATTTGGCCATCAACATAAGATAGTTATAGGATCTCCTTTTAAAATGATAAATACAGTAGATGATGATAAGAAAAATCCTACATTAAAAGACATAAAAAATGTTCAATTCGAAAACAATTATACAAACCAAATACTCAACATAATAGCTTCACAATTAGATAGATTGGAAATCCAAACTCCAGTATCTTATACTTCTCCTATCCAAAAGCCCTTACCAATTACTAAACCAGAAGTTTCAATATTCAAACCCCATGAAATACCTGCCGAACAAATAGTTAAATTAGACAAAACAGAAGACATGTTAGAAAAGATACAAAATAGGTTAAATTATTTGAATATTTCTTCTTCTTTCTTCTTCTCTAGTAATTAAGTATTAAGTAAAAGATAAACAGATTTGAAGAAGACGAAAAAGATCTGACACAGATAATTAGTCAATTAAAAAAGAACAATTTATGAAAATTTTAATTGTTCAAAAGTGATACGATCTGCCATCACTCATCCCTGGAACTCAAGGGAGCAAGGAGAACAACAGAAAAATCCATTAGTGCTACCTAGTGGATCAATTACAAGAAGTCATGCACAGAAATATGGAGCAACCCATGGAGATCAAGAAAGCATGATACCTCAGACTTTAATTAAGATTCGAGGACGAATCTTTCGAGAAAAGGGGAATGATACGAGAATCGCTACCAACTCAACCATTAGATTCTCAAGGAAGCATGGGAGAACACAATAAGTTTTCTCACATTGAATGGAAGCAGTATGTTTGAGATGGAATTCTGAAATTCCGCAATATGGCATGCCCTGGCCATACTAGAGCCTAAGCTTTTGGCGTAATAATAGTTAGCCCATTTTTGTTAGTTTTGAGTTGTAATGTTGTTAATGGGTTTGGGCCACCAATAAATTGGGCACCTTTTAAAATTTTTAATTCCTTAGTTTGGTTTGGATTAATTATATCCCTTATCCTTAGTTGGTTTTTGGATTAAATTACTCCCTTATCCTTAGTTGGTTGGGATTAATTTATTCCTTATCCTAGATTTGTTAGATTAGCTACTCTTTTAAGTGATTGGATTAGATATCCAAATCCTCAAGTTGTATGATTTTGGTTAGGTCATCATCCCTTAAGTTGGTTTAGATGCTAAATCCTAATCCTTAGCTAACTCTAAATCCTTTAAGGATCTGCGACCTCTTAGATTAGTATAAATAGCTTGTTTATTTTTGTAATTATTGGAACACATTATTTCAATCAATGAAATAGACTTCTTCTTCATGCTTTGGCATGTCCTTGCTTAGAGATAAAAGAGAAAGAGGAAAAAGAGTGTGAGATTGCATTCTTCTAATTGCATCAAGAATCAGGTAAACTGTATCAATTCTTTTGTGGCGTTTATCTTATTCTTTTCTCTATTATTGGTGTTTCTTGGCTTCTTTTAAGCTTTGGGTCCAATAGGAGGGATTTAGTTTGATCTTTGATCTCTTCCAAAACTTGTCGTCATAGAGTTCATGGAATTTATTTCCATAGGGTTCCGCGTCAAAAAGATTCATAATGCACCATTACCCAAAACTAGAAATTTTTACCCTAGGCCAACACCTCCAAATGTACAATATGAAGATCTGCCATGACTCAGGCTCGATACGATGGAGAATCAATTAATGAATGGAATATAGATGGATTATCAGAATATCAAATTATAAATACTTTACAAGAAATGATTATGGCTTCATCCACCCATATGTCTAAAGGTAATACAGATCCAGCTGTAGCTCATATATTAATCTCAGGATTTACTGGTCAATTAAAAGGATGGTGGGATAACTATCTTTCCTTCGAAGAAAGACAGAAAATACTAAATGCTACTAAAACTATAGTTAAACACGAAGGTCAACAACAAATACATATGACTGTATAAGACACAGTTAATACACTAATTTTTACAATTACTAAAACCTTTATAGGTGAACCAAGAGAATATCAAGCTAGAGCCTCTGAATTGTTAACTAATTTGACTTGTCCAAAGTTACAAGATTTTAGATGGTATAAAGATGTATTTCTTTACAAAGGTATTTACTAGGCAAGATTGTAATCATGCCTTTTGGAAAGAAAGATTTATCGGTGGATTACCTAAGTTATTTGCTGAAAAGGTACGCTCTAGAATACGAGGGATATATGGTGGATTTATACCTTACGATACCCTAACTTATGGAGAAATTATTAATCATGTTAATAATGAAGGTTTAGCCTTATGTACCGATCTTAAGTTAAAGGCAAAAATGAAGAGTGAATTCCATCAAAGTAGAAAAGAATTAGGAAGTTTCTGCAGCCAGTATAGATATGAAAGTTTACATCCTCCTTCTGCTAAAAATAAGAGGAAACATAAGAAAAATCCCTATAGGAAACCTTTTAGAACAAGAACTTTTCGAGACAAAACTCTTAAAGATAATAAACCCTCTCTAATAGCTAAGAAGAATACAGTTAAAAGGAAAGGTAAAAGACAAATAGTGTGTTACAAGTGTGGAAAGGTAGGACACTATAAGTCGTAGTGCAAGATGAGAGAAAAAATAAATAATTTAGATATATCGGATAAATTAAAACAGCAAATGATGAGTTTGCTTCTCACTGATATAGACACAGATTTAGAAATAAGTGATGACCCTAAAGATTTATATAACATAGAATCTAGTTATTCAGAAAATAGTTCAAGTGATATAGATAACTGTGAATGCGATGGTCCCTGTATTTGTAAGATAAATAGTATAAATGTAGTTACTAGGTAGTTACTAAAGAAACACATTCCTTTTAGACTTGTATAGATAAGATTGAAGATAAGGACGTTCAAAGGGAATATTTGTTAAAACTAAAAGACGTGATATCACACAAAGACGAAAAACAATATGAGCCCTATGAGCTAAAAGAAATATTTAATAGGTTCAATAGCAATAAAGATAAACTTTCTCCTTCTCTAGCCGACCTACAAGGAGAAATTAAAATAGTTAATAGAGAGATAGAAGAATTAAAGCAAGAACATAATAAAATTAAACAAGACATTATTCAGTTACAAGTTAATAAAATTATAGATGTTCAAGTAGAACCCTCAGAAAATAAGAAAATAAATAATTTAGCTGAAACATTGTCTTATGATGAGTTTATTAATGTAATATCTAGAGTAAGTTTTCA